CACGCAGGTATAGTTTGTGTCCCCTGGTGTGTAACCCTGCAGCAAGTTACATTCAGTTTACAAAACCATCAAATATATGTCCATCTACTTATGCAGACGACGAGGAAAGGAGTTTATTTCCATCACTGCAAGGCATGAGTATGTGTCAATTGAATGTAATTGTGACCACCAGAAGCTTTGTGCCGTAACTACCCAGCTGTTGCAGCTTTGCATTAATAATGTGAGCACACATACTGGCCCGCAGAATCATGTGAGGAAACAGTGCAAACAACACAGCATACTAGTGGTGGGTACTTAAGTAAAATATTTTGGTTTTATTGTGGGCTGGTACGTTTTAATCAGCAGGACTTACCACAACAAAATCATGTGAGAAAACAGTGCAAACAACACAGTATAGTAGTGGTGGCATTGAAGTAAAATATCTTAGTTTTATTGTGGGCTGGTAGGTTTTCTTCGGCAGGACTTGCTACACTTTCCTAAAGGCACTATAATTCAGGTATAGAATCTTAAAACAGAAGTGCCGGGCATTAAAGGTGCAATACAACACACTGTATGCAATCTTCTCTCCTGAAGTGTTGTTCAAAATAGTTACCAGCATTCATTTTTTGTAGAGAATGGATAAAAGCACGGGTCATATTTGCAATATCACACCACCGATACATAAAAAAACTTACTTGATTCAGGGCATTTTGTGGAGTCTCATACTCAGCTGCCACGAAAACGAACACCTGAACAGACATCCAAGAGAAGTAACATTAAGTGATTTAGCATATCAGAAGCACAAGAACAGTTCTCAAGCTTAGCCAAAACTGGAAGACATGAAAGATTCAAACTTCAGTTGCATGGTTGCTAGCATCATAACACTAAACCAGACACTACATGAAAGAAATATCTTTCTACTTGCCACTGGCACAAGATCATTCCGCGAACCCGAGATATCCACACATATGGAGATACTACTACAGAGTACAGACGCAGTTGCGGACTTGCCTTCCTTTTCATCATGTCAGTATAGCCAATTTCACCGTGGTCAGTGTTGAACATTCTACCACTATCTTACCACGTCTTCTTGCCGGGGGAAAGAAACACCTTCTACCATAACCAAACATCATACTTTCTAACAGGCATCACCTCCCACCTCTATTTGGTTGCCGAAGAATACGAATTAGCGAACATTTAGGGAAAAGGGCCAGCAGAGGACATTACCTGTTTCGTGTTCCACGTGAAGAGCGACGATAGGTCGGCGGAGATGTTCAGCGTCATGCTAACCTAAACAGGGACAGATCGTACAACAAAGTACCGTCAGAATCCGATAACATTCCGCCGAAGGGAATCGTCGGCGTGGAAGGCAGGAGATCACCTCGTCGTTGGCGTTGGCCTCCTTCTGGAACCAGTTGATGTTGAGGATCTGCGGGGCTCAAAACAACACAGCACAGATCGCGTGAGCGGGGCAGACGAATCGGCCAGAGTCCACAGCCAGCCAGATCGAGCGGCCCGTGGGCGGGGCGGGGCGGAGGGGAGCGGAGGAGTAAGGGAAGGGGGGCGGGTACCTTGACGGAGGCGGTGGGGGTGGGGGAGTTGAAGCTGTCGGAGAAGGAGGCGGCGAAGCACATGGCGGCCAGTATCGTCAGGGCGAACGTCGCCACCGCGTTCGCGCGGTGCCCGAAGGAGTGCATCCTCGCTCGCTCGCTCGCCGGGGCTCGCTGCTGCTGCTGGCTGCTGCCTGTGCTTCTGCTGCTCCGCGGCGGCGCCGGCGAATCCCGTGCAAAGCTCCCTCTTTTTTTCCCCTGTCTGCTGTACTTTTCGCCGCCTGTTTTGCTCTGATCTTTGGAGAGGACGGACGGACGGATGGTGGGTTCCTCGCAGTGATGTGGCCGGACCCACGCGTCGGTGACGGTGGTGGGCGTGACGTGGCGCGCGGTGATTGGGTGCGGCACGTCACGGGGAGTTACTGACGACGTGACGTGGTGGAGTAATAGCTGCGGGTACAAGTGGGCCGGGCCGTCATCCAGCACGGGAAAAGGCCATCCCGTTGGTACGGGCCTTTATTCGGGCTTGTCTGCGCAGTTATTGTTTTTTTTCGGACTGTCTGCGCAGTTATTGTCCGGAACGCAGGTCAGGTTAGGCCTTCTAGCGTGAAAACAAAAGAGGAAAAAGAAAATCAAATTCAATTTCAATTTTTTTTCGGTGCTAAAACTTGAAACTAGCTCATTTGGCACAAAATAGCTGTGATCATGTGTTATTCTAAAGAAAAAAATTGATTATGCGCCACCAACGAAAACCGATGTTCACAAGTGGATATGATCGCCCTTTCACCTTACCTCAACCCGCTCGAGGTAGACATTTGTCCGGGCGCAATCATTTTCGTCGTAACACACGATGTAGCATGTGAGTAGCGCAAGAGAGATCACCTTCACCGGGAGGGCGGCGGCGAGCAGTTGTCTTTGGACATTGGCGAGGGAGATGAGCGTGTGGTGACCGACGGTGTGTGTCATCACGGGAAGCCGGCAAGGTCCAAGGAACCCATAGAGGATATTCATTTAAGATTGTCGTTTTTTCGTGGGGAGCCACCTATATGTGTTTTTCTAGTGTAAGTTAATTTTGCCTCGCGGCTGGGCACCCTTCTTCCTTCGCCAGCCTAATACTTCTTCCCTTCTTTGCTCGCGCTCCCCTCCCATCCTTGCCTCACCGCTGCCCGCCACGCCGTTGATGTCTCCGGCGAGGTCGCTGTCTAAACCGAGCGAAAGCACCCGCCCCGCTGGCGCCGAAGAACTCTTGTCCTCGAACACGCCGACGACGGCGCGGCTAGCTTCGACGCCCGCGTCCCGGCATGGAGCTCTGGGTGCGCCTCTGCAATCAACACATTTTCCGCGAAAATCAATTTTCACAGAATTTTTGAGGAATTTGTGAAGAAAAGCATGTTTTTAGAGTTTTCTTTTCACGATTTTTCTATATGAGCTCAAGAACGCATACGGCCGGTCGGCTAGTCGAGACAAATTTCGGCAACGTTTTATATGAGAAGGTTAGGCCGAAATGGGACGAGGACTCGGCGCATACGGCCCAACGACTACGCTGTCCCGGGACCGTTGTTAGCGACCACGGTCCCAGGCCGCCCGCCCGTCGGTCGGCCCACCGCCCCGCCGGCCAGCGACAGCGACGGCGACGGAGGCAGCGCACGCAAAGCCGCAAACCCTAATCTAATCCACCCTCCTCCTGACCTTGGTTTGGGGCGGCGGCGGCGCACCCGCGTCAGCGCTAATCCGAACCCCAAAACCCAAACCTCGTTCGGGCAAGTAATTACCCCCGCCGACCCACCGCACCGAACCGCACTCCCTCCTTTCCTTTCTCGCTGTCGCCAGTCGCCACCGCCACACGCTCCCTCCCCGTGACCCCCCGCACGCAACCCCACCCCACCCCGACCAAACCCACCGGACCAAGGAAGCCAACCCCCCACAACACGGGCAAAGATCTCGTCTTTTTGAGGAGCTGGAAGGAAGAAGAAGAAGAATATCGCCCTTTGCCCCATTCCCAAACCTTCCTCTTCCCCTCCCCTCCGCGGCGGCGGCGAGCGAGCTGTTGTTCGTTTATTTGTCTCCACGCATCCCCTTCCCCCAGGCAGAAATATTCCGCCTGCTCCGTGCTTTTCTTCCACCGCGTGCGTTCCTGCTTTGACTTGACTTCAAGTTGAAGCTTCTCTGCCTGCCTTCCTTCCTGGGATTGGGGAATTCTTCCGCTTCCTCGGCTTCTCCCGTCCACCCACCGGATTGATTGGGGAATCGTTGTCGGAGGGTTCGAGGCGGCGCGGCGGAGGATTTTAAGAGGATTCTCTGTCTGTTCCCGGCGGCGGATTTGGATTTGCGGGGTTTCGGATGGGGAAGCCGTCGCTCAAGAAGAAGAGGGCCTCCTCCGGCAAGGCCGGCGGCGGGGACCACCACCATGGGGCCGGCGCCAAGCCGGGGGCGCTGGAGCGATCGGGCTCCAAGGTGCTCGACGGCGACGACACCATCTTCGCGGAGATGGCGCAGGAGCTGCGGGAGGAGGGGAACAAGCTCTTCCAGCGCCGGGACTACGAGCGCGCCCTCCTCAACTACGAGAAGGCTGTCAGGCTGCTCCCCGCCGGGCCCCCCTCCGCCGCCCTCGACGCCGCCTACCTCCACAGCAACCTCGCCGCCTGCTACATGCAGATGAGCCCCCCCGACCACTACCGCGCCATCAACGAGTGCAACCTCGCCCTCGATGCCTCCCCGAAGTACTCCAAGGCGCTGCTCAAGCGGGCCCGCTGCTTCGAGGCGCTCGGCCGCCTCGACCTCGCCGCCCGGGATGTCGACAGGGTGCTGGCCGCCGAGCCGGGGAATCTGACGGCGCTCGACGTCGCCGACAGGGTCAGGCGGACCATGGAGGAGAAGGGGTTTGTTGTGGACGGGGAGGCCGTCATGCCCACGCCCGAGGAGGTGGTCGCCGCCGCGCCCAAGCAGCAGCCGAAGCCCAGGAAGAAGAAGGGGAGGAAGGCGGCCGCCAAGGCTGCCGCTGCCGCCGTGGAGGAGCAGGGGGAGGAGAAGGCGGCCGAGCCTGTCAAGGAGGCCGAGGAGCCGCCCAGGCAGGTCAAGCTCGTGTTCAGCGAGGACATCCGGTGGGCTCAGGTGCCGGCGACCTGCAGCATGGCCCAGCTGCGGGAGGCCGTCCGTGGAAAGTTCCCGGGACTCAAGGCTGTTCTTGTCAAGTACAAGGACAAGGAGGGCGACCTTGTCACCATCACCAACCAGGACGAGCTCAAATGGGCCGAAGACTTGACTGAGCCAGGGAGCTCGCTTCGGCTCTATGTCACCGAAGCTGACCCGGAGCATGAGCCTTATGTTGAGGATACCAGTAGCAACCCGCTGGACAGAAATACGCACAACGCGTCGGACAATGGAAGCATCAGAAGCAACAGGCAGGATGAGGACAGGAGCACCGTGACTTACATTGATGATTGGATTATGCAGTTCGCTCGCCTTTTCAAGAACCATGTCGGGGTCAGCTCCGATGAGTATCTCGACCTCCATGAGGTCAGTATGAAGCTGTACACCGATGCCATTGAAGACACCATTACTACCGACGAAGCCCAGGAGGTGTTTCAGCTTGCTGAGGGGAACTTCCAGGAGATGGCAGCGCTTGCGTTTTTCCACTGGGGTAATGTGCACATGTCTCGTGCTAGGAAGAGGCTGCTCTTACCCGAAGACTCTCCAAAGGAATTGGTGCTTGAGAAAGTCAAGGAAGCGTACGAGTGGGCAAAGGAAGAGTACAAGAAGGCCGGGAAGACATACGAAGAAGCTGTAAGGGCCAAGCCGGACTTTTTCGAAGGTTTCCTTGCACTTGCACACCAACAGTTTGAGCAAGCAAAGCTGTCATGGTATTATGCTATCGGTACCAATGCGGATCTAGACACATGGCCTTCCTCTGAAGTCTTGGAGCTCTTCAATAGAGCTGAGGATAACATGGAGAAGGGTACAGAGATGTGGGAGGAAGTGGAAGAACAGCGCCTGAAGAATCGATCCAAACCTAGCCAGGAAAATGCCGTGCTAGAGAAGATGGGCATGGAGGAGTATATCAAAGATGTATCCACTGATGACGCTGCTGAACGGGCTTCCAATATGAGGTCTCAGATCAATATTCTGTGGGGTATGCTGCTTTATGAGCGCTCGGTTGTGGAGTTTAAATTAGGACTGCCAGCGTGGGAGGATTGTCTGATGGCAGCAATTGAGAAGTTTAAACTTGGAGGAGCTTCAGCTACAAACATTGCTGTGTTGGTGAAGAACCACTGTGCAAATGAAACTGCCCAGGATGGTAAGAAAAACAATATCCGTTTATTATCTAGTAGTTCACCATGTTTTTATCTGTTGATTCGCGAGGCTGAGGGAATTATAATATTGATTTTGTTGGAGAAAATTAAAATTGCACACAAAATCATCATTACAAATTGCGATGCTGATTGACCTGTCAACCCTTCTATAGACATGCTGTTTCTTTTTTGCTAGCTGGTCCTCTTGATCACTTTAAACTGACTGGAAATTATTATTTGGAAAGTTCACCTAGTATTGTTGCATCTTTATTTTATTTTGATTTTGAAGATCTTTTCTAGTACTGAAGGTAATTTCCAAGAAATTTGTGTACAGAAAACTGGTCTCTTACATGTTGCTCACTAGTCGTTTTGGTTGAAACATTGAGTTCATCATAATGTGCCTTGTGTGTTGTTAATATTGTGAAAACATAAGCTGTAATTGTGTAATCTACATTGTGTTCTTTGCTGTCATATGTTTGAATCTGTAATTGTCTAATTTACATCGCAGCACTGGTTTCTAAGAATATCCTGTTTGCTTCTTAGGTTTGGGCTTCAATGTCGATGAAATTGTGCAAGCCTGGAATGAGATGTACGACATTAAACGGTGGCTGCGTGGTGCTCCATCCTTCCGTCTCGAGCCATTATTTAGGCGGAGAACTCCGCAACTGCATATGGCACTGGAGCATATATAGTATCCATGAAGTTGCTCCACGCATATTAAATTCTGGGGCACTGTTACCAACACCAATTTTCTTTTGTAGGTGAGCACAGTTATATTCGTTTGCATAAGAACTTTATTTCATATGCACATGAGACATTTGGATTGGCTTTAGCTCGTCAGATGTGTCTTGCTTCTGTCATGATTGTTGCATGCTGCATGGGTATAATAGTAACAAATATGAATATACAATTCTGAGTTTATCTATGCTGCGCCAAAGTTAATGTGTGCTGCTCAAGTTCTGTAGTATGCAAATTATTTCGGGATTCATGTAGTTCTTCTAACACACATCTGCAGTTGCATGAATCTCATTTGTTTAGTTGTCGTTGTTTTATAGGTCCTTAGATGCCTTTCCGAAACAATATACCTTTTATCTCTCCCAAAAAGAGAGGTAATAAGTAACTCTTAGAGCCATACACCACATATGTAATTTGACTCTGTTGACTATTTACTGTAATCCAATTTCTTGCGCTGAGTGGTCCAGATGATTCTGTAAACAAAATGCTGAAAGTAGTAAATGATAACAAGTTCAGAAAGCATGGTTAGTGAGATATTTGAAGATAATATTTTGCTATGGTAGAACTATGTACTACTCCCTCTGTAACGAAATATAAGACGTTTTTTTGGTGTATTTGGCTACAAAAATACGTCCTACATTTTGGTACAGAGGGAGTAGCATTTAATGGGTTGGAGATACTGTACCATATCATGAAGATAAATAGATCTTTGCATCGAATGGAAAAGATTGCTTTCTGCCATACTCCCTCCGTCCATCTGGAATTACCTGTCGCTCAAATGGATGTATCTAGCACTGAAATACATTTAGATACATCTATTTGAGCGACAAGTGATTTCGGACGGAGGTAGTACATCTTTAGTTCCTGATGGTCTGTGCTTATAGGGGTTTAATTTACTGTAGGCTGAAGGCCTTTGAAGTAAACTCTTCCTGATGTCATCTAAAAAAAATGTATGCATCATCTGTATTGAACTGTTCGTGTAGGTTAATGTAACTTTACACGTTAACTTAGTTCCTCGAGCAGTGTACCTTTCTAGGTGAATCTCTGAATGTGATGATCCTCTGTTTAATTGTGGCTCCTCCTTGGTCAGACTGGAGCATTACAGTACAAATAGTGTATCCATACGTATTCTGAGCCACTGATTTGTTGGTCCTGTCTTGGTCAGCCTTGTGATCAATCCTTCAATTACCCAGTTACCATCTTAAAATTCTTTATCCAAATTTTACTTTGTTTGTGATCTTTGTGGTATTGAATTAGGTGTGTTGATTTATCTCTGCAGGTCAATTGCTGATTGGGATACAATACATGGATTTGTTCGGTTGCATTTTTTATACATCGAAAGAGTCTGCTTCCCGGTTGCGAAGCTATTCATTGCGGAGGGGTGGAGCCTGCCCGCGATTTGGATACGTTAGTTGTTTTTTCCGTCTGTCTTGTTCTTCTTCATGCACAGGAAGCTGTGACTTGTTACTGTATTAGAGCTGCATTCCTCCGTAAGCTTAGTAATATACAATACTATATTTTGACGATGGATTGGTGCATCCTCTTATTTGTTTTGCGTTGTTGCGGTGCCTTGCCTGCATGCCTGTTTTGGGCTTGTTTATATTGTGATTACATGCACCATCTAGAATTTCTCGCACTGGAATCTGAAAGAAACAAAGCGTTTCCTGCAACTAAATTAGTGTATTTGGGGAACCTGAGATTATGTCGAGGGAGTTGTGGAGAGTGAAGATTCTTTTGCAAATTGTGGTACCATATATGGACTAGCTCACATGTGGTGATTATCAATGTTTTTGGGTAGTTGGGAATTCACAGTGGTATCTTTACCGACCGAGGCTTTGCTGGTGGCTCTCTATATAAAGCCACACTTCAAATGTGTTTCCTTCAGACTATAAACATAATGATGACATTTAGAAGATCCATCTTGTGAAGTGAGTGAAACTTTTACTGAATCATCGGTTGTAGCTTAGGGCTGGGAGGCATCAGGAGAGCAGTTAGCTCATGGATTGAGAAGGAAAGCATAGGTTAGCTCAAGCTCACAGGATTGTTCTGCGACATCTGCAATGCACGTAGGCAGCATGGCAGAAACTACGAACATCTGTGCATTAGCTTACTCTCCACTGCTCACCCACAGAAAGACGGGCGTGCTGTTTAGCCCTTTTGTGGTGTGTAGACGACGCGAGCTGGTATATTTTGACGTGGATGGTTCGTTCCTTCCAGGGGGCTTGCTCCTCCCATACGCCATACCGGTCTCTTTTCTCTACCAGTATGAGTCATATATGCTCCCTTCGTTTCATAATATAGTGCGTATAAATTTTATGAAAAGTCAAACTTTATAAACTTTGATCAAGTTTATAGAGAAAACTATTTATATCTGCAATATCAAATATATAAAATCTGAAACTACGTCTTACGATGAATCTAATGGTATATGCTTGCCATTCTAGATGTAAATGTATTTCTCCACAAACTTGGTCAAAGTTGGTGAGGTCTGACTTGAAAAAAAAGATCTATATGCACTACATATGGAACAGAGGGAGTGCTTTATAGGTTTAACACCAATCGCATCAAACATATATGACTAGAATGCCGACACACATCATGCGACATCACTCACTTTTTTTATGAGTGAACCACTTATTCTTCTTGTACCTACTATCTCCACCTCTCTCCACCAATCCAAGCTTGCCAACACATCAATGGTGCATCTAACTTGCAATCCTCCTCGGCACCTTAGAGCAAGGTTTATGGTAGAGCCAAGTGTTGGCTATATCTTGTTGCTATGTCATCTATAGCCAGCCTAATAGCCAACATGTACAATAGTTAGTTGAAAAAAGTATTAATACTTTAGTAATACATGGTCACCTCACACTCTCATGATGTTTCTTGGAGACCGTGTTGGAGCTGACTCTTAATTTGCAACCCACTTCCCTTCTCTCTCCTCTTCTCTCATCCAACTCGGTAAAATATAATACTTTAATTCGTATAGCCCACTTACATCACCTTGATATACTTGCTCTTAGTATATGACCACCCAAAAATCAGTTACTAACCGCACAACAATGCATACATATCAACCTTATTGATTAGAAAGATTCTTTTGATCCCTTTTTGTAGTGACTAGTCAGCTGAACATTTGGGAGTAGTAATTTGATGTCCGAACTTTTCAATATTTTTTATTAGTTTCCATTTATTCCCTTTGCTCTCGCATTATCGTAATGTCAATGTTTGTGTTCTTCGACCACAACAAAGGTAACATCCTTTGCAATCACAGCAAATCTATATACCTCAGAAAATCAAACTAAAACAAAGATCAAACCCCGGCTCCTCGTTTCTAAAAAAGAGAAAATCAGTTACTAACCGCATATATATTATGTAATTCACTCTAAATAAATCAAAATCACATTACAAGACAAATAAAACTCGAAGGAATTGTCAATATCTTTGTCAAGCAGACCTCTAATTCCAAGATGGACATTCAATGTCTCCCTCCATCTTGGTAGCTACAACATGGTTTTTTCTCCAAAAATAAAAGAGCATAGCGAAGTGTTTTAGTAAACGCAAGGAGGCGACAAGACATGAACTCACATCACGACATGACCATGAACACTGCAGTCAGCCGAAAAATAATTTTCTTCAACCACATCACGACATGACCATGAACACTGCAGTCAGCAGAAAAATAATTTTCTTCAACCAGGATCTTGATAGTACATTTTCAGCTCCATTAGTACATCTAGCAGCTTCATGTGTTCCCAGTTTCAGCTCATGATACTTCTTTTCTTCTATGGTGACACAAATCTGTCAAAAAATCTTGGAAAAACAAAAAAGTTTAGAAAAATAGTTCATAATAGCAATGACACAAAACAATTCAGAAAAGGAAGAAGGGGATGAGGGAGGGGGGAGAAAGGATGGAGGAGCCTGTCGGCCCAAGTCCGGCGGGCAGCAGCGGACCACCGGTTCGCAGCAAGCCTGCAGATCCGATCGGTGGTATTGAATTTGGGGTGTTGATTTTGCAGGTCAATTGTTGATTGGGATATAGTACATGGATTTGTTCGGTTGCATTTTTTATACATGGAAAAGTCTGCTTCCCGGTTGTGAAGCTATTCATTGCGGAGGGGTGGAGCCCGCTCGCGATTTGTACATGTTAGTTGTTTTTTTTGTCTGTCTTGTTCTTCAGGAAGTTGTGTCTTGTTACTGTATTAGACCTGCATCTTTCTGTAAGCTTAGTAATATATACATACTATTTTGAGGATGGATTGGTGCACCCTCTATTTGTATTGCATTGCCGCGGTACCTTGTCTGCATGACTGTTTTGGGCATAATTATATTGTGATTACATACACCATCTAGAATTTCTTGCACCGGAAACAAAGGGTTTTCCGCAGCTAAATTACTAGTGTGTCAGGGGAACCTGAGATTGTGTCTGAGGGAGTTGTGGAGAGTTAAGTTTTCTGGCGAATTGTGGTACCATATATGGACTGACTCAGAGGTGTGGTGGTTTATCATTTCTGAAATGTTTTGGAGTAGTTGGGAATTCACATGGTATCTTCACCGAGGCTTCTTCACTGGTGGCTCTGTATATATAGCCACACTTCAAATGTGTTTCTTCAAAGAACATATAAACATAATGATGACATTTAGAAGGGTATCCCTGCATCTATCTTGTGAAGTGAGTGTGAAATTTTACTGAATCATTGATTGTAGCTAGCTTAGGGCTGAGAGGCATCAGGAAAGCTGTTAGCTTATGGATTCGGAAAAATAGTACGTACTGGTTAGCTCAAGCTCACAAGATTGATGTAGAAGTCCAGCATTGGTTAACTCAAGCTCACAAGATTGTTATGCGTCAGGATACAACATCTGCAATGTACGTAGGTAGCATGACGGAGCCTGTGACCATCTCTGCATTAGTTTATGCTCCACTGCTCAGCCACAAAGAGACGAACGTGCAGTTTAGCTC